TGTTAACATGCACCTATGGTGGTGTTGAGAATATATATCTAACAGTTCTACTAACTGTAATAGGAATCTGGTCTACTTTATAAACAATGTATAACAAAAGAGAGACACTAATTATACTAATCTAACTCTATTAATACAATGTAGTAATAAATTGTGTCAGGAATTAATTACGTTTTCTCGTTTTGTCATTGAATTGTGTACAAATTGGCCTACATAAGTGGAAATGTTGACAGGGCATGATAGTAACATATAGAATATCTCTGTCTTTGTATGGGGTAGTGTTATATTGATCTTACTTGTAATATGTTGTAACAATTTTCGTCGGTTTTCATCATAGGTTGGGCAATCTATTAAAATCACCGTCATTTACAGAAGGCCAATCTAACTGATCTTTTGAAAATCGCGTAGAAACTTGAGAAGAGCACACAAATTACAATGTAAAAACAAGCAAATCAGAAAAGCGCCTGGATTCATTCCATCACGTTCTTCTAGTCTGACACGATCCCGGCATGTTTACCGAGACTTCAACACGTTCCTACAGGTTTATCCCAAAACATAGCAACGCCCGAGGATCAGGCGTTTAGCTAGGGGGTGTCCAGGGCGTCTTTTGGAGGCCATGTACTGGAAATACTAAGAATTTGGACGCCCTACTCATGCCCGTAGCCAGGATTTTGAATGGGGGGGGGTTCTTCCCACTGCTTGAGGGGACCTCGAGCGCCGTATGGCGCGAGGTTTCTAGGGGGGTCCGGGGGCATGCTCCCCCGGAAACTTTTGAAAAATGAACCTTCTAAAATGGCATTTCGTGCATTTTTGAGAGGACTTCCAAGAAAAAATCAGAGATAATTTTTTATTCAATGACAAAGGGAGCAGTTTTTCTACGATTCCAGTCCATCTTTTCAAGAAAAATCTTGGACCTTTACATAAAAAGTGGACCAAAAAGTGGACCTTTACATAAAAAGTGGACCAAAAAGTGGACCTTTGAGCCTCATGGGGGGTTCTTCCGAACTACGGGCATGCTACTTTTTGGTGGAACACCCTAAAGACGTCCTATTTTCACCACTCACAACCCCTTCCCAGTACACATGCCTCCCTTCAGCTTCACTATGAATACAAACGTGATGGTTTACTGAAGAAGAAAAAAACTCAAATTGCTCAAAATTTGCACCTCAAAATGCAGAAAGTAGTGTTTAAGAGCATTATGAATTTTAAACAAGAAGCCATAGGCGACAATTCTCCGTGAAGTATTATATATTGCAACAAAAAGAAGTAGCCATTGGCGACAATTCTCTGTGAAGTGTGATAAATCGAACAAAGAAAAATTGTTTAAACGCGCGTCGGCTCAGTCATCTTAAGACGCAACAACCAATCAGAGATGCGAGATGCCTACACGTGACGCGGGAAGGGCGCGCGATGCCCGAAATATTTTTGCGTCAATTTTCAGCGCCGTGATTCAAGAGATTAATACCCGGAAACAATTTTTTTCTTGTTTTGAACGCATTAACATGCATTTACGCTAATCTAGTATGATTCAGGGTTACTTTTTTTTAACCTGCCATGGCCAGATTATCTAAAGATGTGTGTATTGTGTGTACAATCTATAGAAAGAGAAATGTACATCAGGTCCGATCATCCGATTTTCACGTTTCGGTTTTTTGGACTCGGTTCATGAACGTATTTTGGTTTGGTCTCCTGGAATGTGCAAAAAATGACTCCCGGGACTGTCTACAGGGAACACTCGCACATTCGCGGTGTATCAGGACAGCGCGACTGGTCGTCATTAGCGCAGTAACAGTTGCATAAACGGACGAAACCATTTCAAAGAAATGGGGATGTTTCGAAAATAAGCATTTACTCCAATA